TCTGTGTCTCCCTCTCTCTCTGCCCCTCCCCTGCTCATACTCTACCTCTCTGTTTCTGTCAAAAATAAATAAACATTAAAAAATTAAAAAAAAAAAAAAACAAAAGCAGGCAGCACGCCCAGCATGGAGCTTGACACAGGGCTCGATCACAAGACCGTGAGATCACGACCTGAGCCGAAATCAAGAGTTGGACACTCAGCCGGCTGAGCCTCCCAGGCACCCCGGAAGTGGGCTCTTTGGTCTGGGTTTTACTGCACTTGCACCTGAGACTGGAGACCATGGTTTGTGTGGTCACAGGGCAAGCAGGTCGGTGGACGCTCCTCCTGGGATGAGGTCCATTCGCCCCAGGGCAGGGTGGCTACTGGGATACAGGGGTGCTGTCGGCCCAGGGGCAGGGTAAAGGGCTAGCGCAGGCTCTAGTTCCAGCTCCTCTCACTACTTACAGGGGCGAGACAGGTATCCGTGTAGCTGAGCGGTGACCCTGGGCGAGTGCCCCGGTCTCCAAGGCGAGACCGTCTAGGCACTGCCCCCAGCTTCTCCTAACCATGCCTGTTCCCTCTGCCGCAGGGCGACCTGGCCAAGAAGAAGATCTACCCCACCGTCTGGTAAGCATGTCCCGTACCGTCCCACTGCCCCCGGCCCTCCCGACCCTCCCCGCCCTGGCCACAGCCGTGCTGTGCCCTCAGGTGGCTGTTCCGCGACGGTCTTCTGCCCGAAGACACCTTCATCGTGGGCTACGCCCGCTCCCGTCTCACAGTGGCCGACATCCGCAAGCAGAGCGAGCCATTCTTCAAAGTGAGTGGCATCTGGGGTCTCCGTGAGGGACATGCCCCCTTCCCATCCCATCACAGGATGCCCTTTCTTCCACGTACTCCTGCTCTCTGGGACAGGACCCTTTGTCCCCTGCCGTGGCCAAGGCCAAGGCCTTGTTAGGAAGATGGCTTGGAGGCGCTCATGCCCTCGCAGTTGTCATCCTTGCCTCCCCCCAGGCACGCACACTGCCCTGGCACACTGGTGCACAAAACCCTGCCGGCCCGAGAGCCCCATCTCCCAGTCCCCCTCTGACCCAGATATACCAGGTGCCCCCTGCTGCGCCCCCCTCCCCCCGGGGCCAGGAGCCGAGAACGTCTCTTCACCGCAGAAATCTTACAGATCTGCCTTTCCCAGCACACCGCAGCTTGGTGTGGTGACTTGGGAGAGAGATCTCTCTCCGGTGTGTTTCTCCCAGGTCACAGTTTCCTGGACTCTAACTTGTGTCTTAGGGCACAAGGCCCCCAGGGGTGACCGCTGGGCCCCAAATCTTGCACTGTTCATGCTGCCTCAGCCTCCCCCCGTGGGCATGCAAAGCTGACAGGATGGGGGTGTACCCAGCGTGGAGCTAGGATGACTGACCACTGAGGGAGCCCACCCCGGCCGTGGGAGGACAGAGGGAGGGCTGGCGAGGGGCAACGTCCCTGGCTCCGTCTTTCTCAGGCCACACCGGAGGAGAAGGCCAAGCTGGAGGAGTTCTTCGCCCGCAACTCGTATGTGGCTGGCCAGTACGACGACGTGGCATCCTACAGGCGCCTCAACAGCCACGTGAATGGCCTTCACCAGGGGCCGCAGACCAACCGCCTCTTTTACCTGGCCTTGCCGCCCACGGTCTATGAGGCGGTCACCAAGCACATCCATGAGACCTGCATGAGCCAGACGTAAGGCTTGTCTTTTGCCCTCCCTGCCTGCCAGGTGTGCCCTGTGCTGGTCTGGCCTGCCCTGGCGGTTGTCCAGAGCCCCTGGGCCAAACTAGTCTCCGGAGTCGGAAAAAGGTGGTGACCCTTGTTTGTTCTGCGCGTGAATTAGCTCCCCCCAGAAGGCAAAAGGGTATAAATACGGGTGCTTTGTAATAGCATTTACTGGAAATGCTACCCCACTTGTTTACCCGGGAGATCCTCGTGCCCCTCGTGGTCCGTCTTGCTAGAAATCCAAGTTTCCTTGGCAGCTATGCCTGCCAGGACCACAAGGTGGCAGTGTTGCTCCACAAAACTCCTGCTGCTGGTTCCTTGTTCTCTCGGTTTTTTTAGTGCTTTCTAAGGTCACCTTCGTGGCCAGGGCCACTATGTGGCAGCATAGCTCCACAAGCACGTTGCTTCCTACAGAACACCAGTCCTGGCAGTGCGTCCTTCCCAAAGCCAGTCGTCTGTTTCACTTTGCCTTGGTTTTGAATGCAAAATGCCACGTTAACTGTCCGTGGGAAATAGCAAAGAAAGGGACCTTTATTCATTTTAAATTTTTTTTTTTCAACGTTTATTTATTTTTGGGACAGAGAGAGACAGAGCATGAACGGGGGAGGGGCAGAGAGAGAGGGAGACACAGAATCGGAAACAGGCTCCAGGCTCCAAGCCATCAGCCCAGAGCCTGACGCGGGGCTCGAACTCACGGACCGCGAGATTGTGACCTGGCTGAAGTCGGACGCTTAACCGACTGCGCCACCCAGGCGCCCCTCATTTTAAAATCCATGGAGACAGCTGTACCCCTGACATCCGCTCCCCGCCCCATCCCCCAACTAGCTCCCAGGCCACTCCTGAAGATCCAGTGTGGGGCTGGAGGGGAGCGGGATCCGCTGGACGGAGCACTCTTGCTAGTCAGCAGCGAGTCGGGCCGGAAGGCTTCCGAGGAAATTTTGAGTGTGGCATTGAGGGCCGCAGACGACGGCTGTCCTCGGGTCTGGGGGCTGTGTGCCAAGGTGGGGCAGGAGGCCTTGCCTAGCAGAGCTTCACTGGTCATCTGAGAATGCACAGGGGAGGGAAGGCTCTGCCTCTCCTTGAGGAAGGGACCCTGGGGGGGTGACAGGGTTCTGGCCCCCGCTCCCCCAGGACGGGTATGGGGTGATGTGGCTCTGGGTTCCCACAGAGGCTGGAACCGTGTCATTGTGGAGAAGCCCTTCGGGAGGGACCTACAGAGCTCTGACCGGCTATCCAACCACATCTCGTCCTTATTCCGTGAGGACCAGATCTACCGCATCGACCACTACCTGGGCAAGGAGATGGTGCAGAACCTGATGGTGCTGAGGTCCGGCCAGGGCTGAGCAGAAGCCATGCAGCTGGGGAGGCGGGGGAGGGGGGAGGGGGGGCGGCCGGGGCGGGGCCGGGCATAGGGAGCGGCGGGGCGGTCCCAGCCTGATGTTGCCCTGGCGATGCGGTGCCACCCTCCACCGTGCGCCTCCTGCAGATTCGCCAACAGGATCTTTGGTCCCATCTGGAACCGGGACAACATCGCCTGTGTCATCCTCACTTTCAAGGAGCCCTTTGGCACCGAGGGCCGTGGAGGCTACTTCGATGAATTTGGGATCATCCGGTGAGAGCCTGTCACCCTCCCTGTCCTGGGGGCTTCTCCTCCCCCCTCCAGGTTCACATTCGTGGGTGGGTGTGTGAGTGGTCAGTGGTGACCGTGAAGTGATGGTTCACTGTTTCCTTCCTTGACTTGAGGTGACGTCCAGGGGTAGCCATGAGCTCGGAGCAAATGTCATAGCTTGTTGCTAGCAAGCCATGTCTGAGGTGCCATGTGCCTGGGCGCGGCCGACGGGGAGAGGCTGGGGTGAGCCCACGCCTCCCCCCTTCCTCCCAGCCTGGAAGCCCCTGACGTGCGTTGCGCGCACTCTTCCCTCTGCAGGGACGTGATGCAGAACCACCTCCTGCAGATGCTGTGTCTAGTGGCCATGGAGAAGCCCGCCTCCACTGACTCGGACGATGTCCGCGACGAGAAGGTGGGTGCAGGCGCACCCTCCTGGTCCCTGCTGCCGGCCCAAGAGCAGGAAGCCCAGGATGTCACGTCCCAGGACCGATAGGACCTGTGGGCAGTTCGGCGCTTAGCCTCTCCCTCAGAAAAGAGGAGAGCGGGTCCAGGTGGCCCCAGAGAGGCCTTGGGTGGGAGGCCACGGCCACGCCCCTCGGCAGGGTGTGCGCAGCTGGCCGGGCACCAGCCCCTGTCCGCACAGACCAGGCAGCCCTGCGGGAAGCCCACCCACGGTCACACGGCCGCCTCAGGCCGCTGCCGTCTGTCCCCTGCGTGGCTGCTCCACCCCGGTACCCAAGGAGCTCCCCACCC